TTTAAACTTATTCCAGTGTGCCTGCTCTGCTTCACCATCCCTATCTGAGGAAACCACAGCAAAGGCTCTGGGCCCGGCTTACCATACCTGATTAAAACAAAATCATAGGTACATTCCAAGACACTTATAAGTCTTCTGGCCAGTCACATTGTTGAGAGAAGTGCTTCTCAAATTATGTATAGGGAAGGATCAGTTTCTGTTTTTCCCAGTTCTTCATGAACTGATAGATACTCTTATAAAATATAATAACAGTAAGTTTCTAGAGAAAAATATCCCATTCTTGGATGTTGTGAAAATGCCTAATTGCTATTAAAATTTCTAAATGCTTCTCTCAGCTTTTTACTGTCTCATTGCAAACTAGCAATGGATCATATACTAGCAGTGATCTGTAAAGCACACTTTGAGAGTTGGTTGAGGAGAATGAATCAGTGAGGGTGCCCAAACATATATGTGAGATGAGAAGTAGCAAGCAATAAGCTAGAGGAGGCACTGATCCCCTCTGTCAACCCAGGAGCATGAAGAAGGAAGTAAAAGAGTTGGCCATGTGTGTGCCTTATTAAAAATATATATGTTATTTATCTATTTTTGGTCATTTTGGGTCTTCGACACTACATGTGGGCTTGCTCTAGTTGCGATGAGCAGGGACTACGCTTCCTTGCAGTGGGCAGGCTTCTCATTGTGGTGGCTTCTCGTTGCAGAGCACAGGCTCTGGGGTGCACAGGCTCGGTAGTTAGTTGTGGCACTCAGGCTGAGTTGCCCACAAAGAACTTTCACAGTGGAATCATTTTAAAAAGAAGGTTAAGGCCTAAGCTCTAAGGCAAACATCTTATATAGTTACAAGTTACTTTGAAATTTCTTTAGAGTCATAATTGGGCAAACTAATTATCTCAGGGTAGCAAGGAGGGTTGTCTGAGGTCAGTTGTTTGTCAGGTTTTGTTCTCTTAGAGCCCTGGTCCTCAAACCGGGATTGCATGCTTTCAGGGCACTTGAAGATTTTTCAAGCTCGGTTTTAAGGAACTTGATTTTCAGATCTTTAAGTTACATGTTCTTATACCTAGGGTGAACCCTGTGGTCTAAAGTCACACCATTTCTCCTTTTCCATTTTTCTTTTCACAGTCAGCTTTCTCCCACTTTACAAAAGGAAGGCATACCTCTCTATCATCCCAAATCCTGAAGATCTTTGGGGTGCCAGACAAAGGAACAGTTCAAAATATTAGTGTCTACAGAGTTTTCTTTAATCTGTTGTTGTTCAGTCCCTCAGTCACGTCTGACTGTTTGCGACATCATGGACTCTAGCATGCCAGACTTCCCTGTCCTTCACTGTTTCCCAGAGTTTGCTCAGATTCATGTCCATTGAGTTGATGATGCTGTCTAACAATCTCATCCTCTGCCACCCCTTCTCCTGTTGCCTTCAACCTTTCTTCACAGCATCAGAATCTTCCAGTGAGTCAGCTCTTCGCATCAGGTGATCAAAATATTGAAGCTTCAGCTTTAGCATCAGTCCTTCCAATGAATATTCTGGGTTGATTTCCATTAGGATTGATTGGTTTGATCTTGCAGTCCAAGGGACTTTCAAGAGTCTTCTCCAGCACCACAATTCGAAAGCATCAATTCTTCGGTACTCAGCCTTCTTTATGGTCCAACTCTCACATCCCTACATGACTACTGGAAAAAAAAAAACCATAGCTCTGGCTATATGAACCTTTATAAGCAAAGATATGTCTCTGGTTTTTAATATGCTGTCTGATTTGTCATAGCTTTCCTTCCAAGGAGCAAGCGTCTTTTAATTTCATGGCTACAATCACTGTCAGCAGTGGTTTTAGAGCCCAAGAAAATATAATCTGTCACTGTTTCCACTTTTTCCCTGTCTCTTTGCCATAAAGTGATGGGGCTGGATACTATGATCTTAGTTTTTTTAATGTTGAGTTTTAAGCTAGCTTTTTCACCCTTCTCTTTCATGCTCATCAAGAGACTCTTTAGTTCCTCTTTGTTTCTGCCATTAGAGTGGTATCATCTGCGTATCTGTGGTTGTTGATATTTTCCTGGCAGCCTTGATTCTAGCTTGTGATTCATCCAGCCCAGCATTTCGTATGATATAGCCTGCATAGAAGTTAAATAAGCAGAGTGACAAAATACATCCATGTCAGTATACAGCCTTGACAATATACTCCTTTCCCAATTTTGAAGAAGTCCGTTGTTCCATGTCTGGTTCTAACTGTTGCTTCTTAACCTGCATACAGGTTTCTAAGGAGACAGGTAAGGAGGTCTGATTCCCATCTCTTTAAGAATTTTCCACAGTTTGTTGTGATCCACACAGTCCAAGGCTTTAGCATAGTCTCTTAGTAAAGCAGAAGTAGGTGTTTTTCTGGAATTCTCTTGCTTTCTCTATGATCCAACGAATGTTGGCAATTTGATCTCTGGTTCCTCTGCCTTTTCTAAACCCAGCTTGTACATCTGGAAGTTCTTGGCTCACATACTGTTGAAGTCTAGCTTGAAGGATTTTGTGCATAACCTTGCTAGCATGTGAAATAAGCGTATACTTATATGGTAGTTTGAACATTCTTTGGCATTTCTTTAATCTGGGAAACTTAAATCCATTGTAAGTCTTTCTGAATTTACCTCCTTTACATACTTCTAATAAGAATGAAATATAGAATTATAATCAGGGGCATTCAGATGTTTTAAGTTCAGGAGCAGGATGGATGTCACTGGGATACATAGTCATACATTCATTTAAAATGAAAAATGAGGTCATACTTTTTCCAATAAAAATAAGTCTGATTGGGCCAATTGCTTTGATAATGGGAACTGGCTTTGCTAATTAGATCATATGGTGGGCATTTTTTAAATTAAATGGGCTAAATCTATGGCTTTAAAGTTTTAATGAAAACATCTCTAAAGCATGCAGTAAGATCATTTTATTAAAAAATTAATGTTGGCATTGATGTATAGAAATTGACAATGCTTTGATTATTCCAACCTTTTCTGTTAGGTCAAGTAAAGTTCCTTTAAAAGAATAACCTCTGTAAGAGGCACTGATATAATTATTAGTAAATAATAAATAAAGCCTTTTTGATACCTTTAGAAATGAGGAAATGGAATATTCTAACAACTGGGTAACAAGTCCTTTGGCAGGTTGGGTGATTTTCAATTCTTTGCTTTCAACAATATTGAAAGAGGACTTGATTTAGTTGTCAGCTGATAGATCATTAAGATAAATTTTGCTGATCGCTTACTATGTAATTTTGGCATATAACTTGGAAGAAGTTCAAAGAATTGAGTGACATTACTATAACAGTGTTCTTCTGTTCCAAGATACCATTTATACCATTCATACCATTATATGAATAAGGTTTCTCAGCACTTAAAATCTAATCTTAGAAAGGGGAGGGGGGCTTCTGTTTAGCCATGTATGATTCTAATAATAAGTTATACTATCTACAGATATTTAAACACCAAAACACCAATTGGGGGAAAGAAAAGCTCATTCATCTCATTGAGATACATTTTAATAAAAAAATTTTAAGCTTAATAATTACTTATAAAACATAGAATATTTGTGATCAGTTGTATTAATGAGAACTGTAATAAAAGCACAATCCAGGGGAATTTTTTTAATTTCTTGGAGGCTCATGGTCATGGGAAATTGGTTTTAAGTACAGTTTACACTTTATTGTTGCAGAAAAGTATTGAAAGGGGGTCAGTACAATGCATTGAAGCATAAAGATACACATTAGCACAAAATTCTCTAGGTAATGTGGAATGGAAGTATAAGCTGAAAGAGAAAAATGAAAATTTTCTAAGTGATAAATATGAGTTTGACTTGAAAAGGTCAATTCTGGGAACTTACAAATAGTTAAACTTCTGATGAAAAAAAAAAGTTGAAAAAAATGGAGTAGAAGGGGACAGATACCATTTTCAGCAGAACTGAAAAACCACTGTTGGCATAGTTCTTAACCTGCATTGAAAGAGTAGTAAGTGGCTTCAGTTCAGTTCAGTTCAGTCGCTCAGTCGTGTCCAACTCTTTGCGACCCCATGAATCGCAGCATGCCAGGTCTCCTTGTCCATCACCAACTCCCAGAGTTTACTCAAACTCATGTCCATCAAGTCAGTGATGCCATCCAGCCATCTCATCCTCTGTGGTCCCCTTCTCCTCCTGCCCCCAATCCCTCCCAGCATCAGGGTCTTTTCCAATGAGTCAACTCTTCTCATGAGGTGGCCAAAGTATTGGAGTTTCAACTTCAGCATCAGTCCTTCCAATGAACACCCAGGACTGATCTCCTTCAGGATGGACTGGTTGGATCTCCTTGCAGTCCAAGGGACTCTCAAGAGTCTTCTCCAGCACCACAGTTCAAAAGCATCAGTTCTTCGGCGCTCAGCTTTCTTCACAGTCCAACTCTCACATCCATACATGACCACGGGAAAAACCATAGCCTTGACTAGATGCACCTTTGTTGGCAAAGTAATGTCTCTGCTTTTTAATATGCTATCTAGGTTGGTCATAACTTTCCTTCCAAGGAGTAAGCGTCTTTTAATTTCATGGCTGCAATCACCATACTGGGCACTTTTAAATCTCTCCTTTTGCCAAGTGTGGCATAGAAGCTAACCTGGTAGATTAAAAGCACACTCCACGTGAGCTCATAGTAATGAAAAATCGACACCCAGTGTCTTATTTCCAGTGGATTTGGTACGCAGAGCATGATAGAAAAACATGGTTTCAGTGTGTAGGTGAACAGCGCATAGAACTTGTGAATGGTTAACAGGTCAAAGACAGGTGTGCCTCAAGATTATGGGGCAAGGAGAAGTGAGTGGTGATGGGTGTTGAACGGCAGTAGAAATTCAACATCCGAAAGTGCTTTCTGGAAGCAGCTGTGTTGTGATTAGCAGGAATGCAAGGATGGGGCCAGACTGGGGAAGCTAACAGCGTTTGCTCGCCTTCTGTGGGGTCCCTTCCCGTCTCACCCTGCCTCTCTTGTCTCTCTCCCCTCCTGCCCCTGCAGTCACTGCTCAGCATTCCGGGCTCCCCATTCCTCTCCCGCCACAACAGCAGGAGCAGCATCTTCAGCTTCCGGGGGCCCGGGCGCTTCCGGGACCCGGGCTCGGAGAACGAGTTTGCGGACGACGAGCACAGCACGGTGGAGGAGAGCGAGGGCCGCCGGGACTCGCTCTTCATCCCCATCCGCGCGCGCGAGCGCCGCAGCAGCTACAGCGGCTACAGCGGCTACAGCCAGGGCAGCCGCTCGTCGCGCGTCTTCCCCAGCCTGCGGCGCAGCGCCAAGCGCAACAGCACGGTGGACTGCAACGGCGTCGTGTCCCTCATCGGCGGCCCCGGCTCCCACATCAGCGGGCGTCTCCTGCCAGAGGTGAAAATAGATAAGGCAGCTACTGATGACAGTGTAAGGAAGTAAACCGGCAGACCGCGGCTAGGCATGGCAGTCTCTCCCGCTCCCTTCCTCTCTCCTCTCCTTTGCTCCGCCCATCCCACTCGGTCCCCTGTGCTCTCCAGCTCCCGTCTGGACTCACGTCTCTACCGCCTACCGCTTCTGTCTTCTCCCTCCTGATTTGTTTCTATTTCTTTCTTCAGCCCTCCTGCTTCACTCACCCTCTTTTCCCTGTACTTTATTCCTTGCTCCGTTCCCCATCCCCACCCCCACCTTCCTTTCTAGTTTCTGACTCTTGCCCTTCCCCCATCAACCCTTTATTTTATGGATGTTTCTTTCTCTCCATCTTTGCACGTCTCTGTCTGCCTCTCTCCCCGACCCCACCCCCACCTGCTTTGACTGAATGCCTCTGGCCAGCGGATCCTGCCCAGATGGAATGAGAAGGGCCTCTGCCATCACCAATGACCAAGTCTATGCGGGTTTGAAACGACCATTGCTTCTCTCCCCCTACGTCCTGCCTCCTTGTAGGGAAACAGCTTGGAATTTAAAGCTCTTTTCTTAATGTTGAAAAAAAAAAAAAGTTCAAATATATCTTTGAACGATTTTCTTAGTCTCCTCTACAAGAATGAGATGTGATTTTTCCAAAGAGGCATGTGCATGTGTGATGCTGAGCATAGGAAGTGGGCACCGGGAGAGCCAGGCAAAGAGAGGTGAAGGAAACTGGTGGGGAGCTGGACGTTTAATAAGGGGATTGCGATAAATCAAAGGAGGGGAAGGTAGGTGGTTGGGGCAAGAACACATGGTACATGGGGGAGGAAGGAACAGGGAAGTGAAAGATGAATTTTAAATGTAATCAAATGTCAGGCTCTGGAGAAGTGGCATATAATAGCGTCACTTCACAAAATCACTTGGCTCGGGGTTAGGTTAATGGCACCCCTCTTTGGGAATAGCCATCTCCTAACATTTCTTTAGATTCTAAGCTGTTTATACCTTTTTTCTAGCTTTAAATTCTTATAACCTTAATGATCCTGATCCTTTCTACCTCTGATTCCTTAACTTTCCTCAGTCCCTCCTTAGCTGGTCTGAGCTTCTTAAGATAGCATGTCGGTCCGTTTTGTTGTAACACTTCAGTTTCCTCTAACACAGCATGAAGATAGCCGACCCTTTAATTAGCATGATGCATGTGTGGAGGAAAACTGGACAATCCAGGATGTAATTATTCAGCATGACCTGTTATTTAGCACTTTAGGACAGTTGTTGGACTATCCTAGGACAGTTGTTGACTGTCCTAAATTCAAAAGACAGTTAGGATGTTTGATGTTGTCCTTTCTCTTCCTACTCTTTTATTTAAAAGGAAAATATTTTCCCCCTTACATTTAGGAGGTTCTTTACAAGCTACAGTTTGCTTTTATGTGCCTCATTTGTTCTAAGTGGAAATTCTGTAAGGCTGACAAAGTGGAGCTGATATTCCTGTTTTTGAGATGGGGAAACAGGCTCAGTGAATTTGTACTCCTTGGGGTTACACAACTCATCATTGAAAAACCTTTCAGAAACCTGAGTCTTCAATTTCTCAGTTAATTTTAATGTCTTCTCTACCTAGTCACATGACCATTGCTCTTCTTGAGAACTGTTTGTTTCAGATCAGGTGTAATAGGAATAATAATAATAACAAGTAGTGGTTCCAAAGTTCCCCCTGCTAAACCAGATAGTTGGCCAAAATACATGTTACGAATGACTAGCTTTACTTTAAATATAACTTTTGATTTTCACTAATTCTATGTCTAGATATAAATTTGGGGCTCCACAATTAGATAGAAAATGATATTCTCTGAAAAAATAAGAGACGAAATCAATGGAAAATGACAGGTAGATCAGCATGGACACTACAGTTGGGACAGTTCAAATGTTGAGAACCAAAGTAAAATTTTATATCCTACCAGTTTTAAAAAATATTTAAGTCAAATAACATATCTTGCTTTTTCTTTGAAGAGAAAGTATTAGAAAAGGTGTCCAGGAAGAAGGAACTTGAAGTTCAACTTAAAGGCAGATAAGCAGGTTTGCAGGTTTTGTTTTTGTTTTTAGCAGCTTCTGTTATATTATGTGGCAGAAAAGTGTGAGAGGCAGTTGAGCAGATGGCTGTGGAATGTATAGCTGTCGGCACTGCCTTACCCTGTGGCCCATGGAATGCTACCTTTGGGGTTTTGGGGGGTCCTGCACGCTCAGCACCCTGTAAGCACTTAGAAGATTTCTTTGCAGTGGTCCTGAGTGATAATGCTGACAGACTTGAACATTCCCAAGGTCAGGAGATCAAATACCAAAGTGGCAGGAAGAGGAGGAAGGCAGGGCTGTATTATTCTCAAGGGCTTCATAACTAGGAAAAACTGTTTTGTTGGAAGCCATAAGGAAGCTCCTCCTAGTAGTTAATGGTGTGGAAAAATACCTAAGTTACAGGAATAAGCCAAAAAGACAGACCAAAACAAAAACAGAATGCATATCATTTGTGTGGTATATCATCTATGTAAAGACAAACTGCATAGGGAAAAGGATGACTGACTACAAGTTAACAGTATTGGGAGGGGAAATTACTAGTGATTTTTTCTTCCTTTCTTACACTTTGTTGTTCTTTCTAGTTTGCTGCGGTGGACCTAATCCTTATAGCTACCATATATTGAGTTCTGACTACTCTATGCTCAGCAGTTTATACATATGTTCTCATTTAACCTCCTCATTCAGTAGGTGGTTTTATCCAGTTAACAGAGATTTGGTAACTTGTAGAAATGGTACCAAGGTCTTTCTGATGCCAAGAGAACTTCCTGACTGCTTATTTTGGAAGTAGGAAAACAGTCATTTATCCTAGAAGGAATTAATATATTCATGATGTTACATGCAGCCCGGGCCAAATGAGCAATTATTATACCCCTTTGGGCTAGAAGATAGTGATTCTCACTGTCAAAACATTTTGGATACGTCTGCAGCTACGGATTAACTTGTCTTCGCCTGAACCATCAGAGTGCTTCCAGTTACGTACTCATGCTTTATGGACTGGTATAGGAGCTGTTGATGGTCCACGGTTGGTCTCACACAGCATGAATGCTTGAGCTTTCCCACATGTGTAGTTTTTATTTAGGCTTAAATGAAGAAATACAATATTCTTAATGAAAAAAAGACATCCAGACATCACCTCATTAGAATCTCATGAAAAATATTTTACATCTTCATTCATTATTCAGTTGTGGTTGAGTGGTGATGATTTCTTGATAGTTTGAGAATTTTTGCTTTTGCTTTTTGCTGAAACACAGGATAAGTGTCTTCAGCTCTGAGCTGGAAAATCATTGCTCTTCACTTGTAAAGGAAGCGGGTGCTCCTGACTGTCCAAAACACACATGACTCAGAAGCCATGTTGCCGATGTAGAGGTATTATCTCATTTCATGCTCACAGCACCTTCCCTCTGAGTTAGATCCTACTACTGTGTGCGTTTTACAAGGAGGAGACCAAGGCTTAGAGAAATAAAGTCACTTGTCCAAGGTTGCACAGTAAGCACTGTAGTTAGGATTTGAATCCAGACAATCTAACTGCACGGCGTTAACCCCTAACCATTATGCTATGCTAACTATGAAGCCTGAGTTCTTCATGATCCTGAAAAATTAGCATCTCTAAGCCCATATCCTTAGCTGTAAAAAAAAGTGAGATAAAAGGACCTTTGTTAGACAGCTATTTGAAGATTAAATGTAATAACATTTATGAAATGTGAAGCATATTACTTGGCCCATTCTTGGTATTCAGAAATCCAATTTCTATTCCTTTCCATGTGCATTTTTGGTCTTTTTAACCGGAAAAGTAGACAGTGGGATTTCTGCTGAATTGCTTGACTTGGAGAAAGTCAGATTTCTTCTAAGATTCTAAAGATCCTTTGAGAAGGAGAGATTTTTGTACAGTTGTTTTGAAGTAGAATACATACCAGAAAAATTTTAGCAAGGCTTGAACTGGAGGTAAATGACTAGGTTCTGAGGCCCCTTCTAAAATGCTCTAAATTTTAGTCCCAGGAAAGGTGACTGGCTGATAAATTTCCAGTTATATAGTTCCATGTGAAATCAGTTTAGAATCAATAACAAGTTGAGATTCCTTGGGTAGATCTGTGGAAATGTGGTCAAAACCTGACATCGGCAGATATGGTAGAATATCTCTTTGAGGAGGGCAGCTTCAATTTAGGAGGTTGGAAGTCAGTGGCTAAATGCATAATAAACTTTGCATTTGAGTTAAGAGAAATGGAACAAATTTGTACTGGGTTTAAAGTAATTAAGGTTCTCAGTTTCTTCCACTATTACTCCTTAGGGGCTGAATTTTTAAAAGTCAGAGGCTCCTGACTTTTAAAAGTTGTTAGTTTTCCTCCTCTCTCCCCAACAAAATGAAACAAAAATACACACCTTCATCTGCCCGCCTCCCCAAAATGACCTAAAAAAAAAATCAGGCAGAGGAGGAAATGAGTACGTTGTCTTTCCTTTGGTCCCTGGGTCTCAGCATGCTTGGAGGAAGACGCCTTTACCGCACCTCCCAGGTGATGAGGATTGGGCAATTGAGCCAATAGCAGAGACATATCTCACTGAATCCCAAGCAGGTTCTAGATGGAAGGTGAGGATGAAGCTGCTGTACCTGTGAAAACGTCTGCTCCAGGTTTTCTTCACTTCAATTGGCCGTGGTCTGACATAAGAAACGACAACCAACATTACTGTTAGGAAAGTAAAATGGTGCAAATACTTAAAGATAGTTTGGCAACTCCTCCAAAAGGTAAACATAGAGTTACCATATGACCCAGAAATTCTACTCTTAGGTATATACCCAGGAGAATTTCAAACGTGTTCACACAAGAATTTATACTTAAGTATTATTAAAATCTTTATTCATAATAGCCAAAAAGTAGAAACAATTCAAGTACCTAATAGCTGATGAATGGAGAAACAAAATATGATACAATGGAATCCCTATAATGGAATCTCATTCAGCCAACATGAATTGA